GATGCAGCAGCTCGTTGCTCGTTCGTTGGCCCTCGCAGCATCTTGACAATCCACAGGATGCCACCAGCATCAGAGACCTGAAGCTTGATGAGCTAGGGAAGAGAGGGAGGAGGGGAGGGGAGAGAGGAGGAAGAGGGGAGGGGAAGGGAGGGAAGGTGGTAGAGGAGACGTGAGGAGAGTTGACAGATGAGGAGAAGGGAAAACAGAGCAGAACTGAGGTTGAGGGCCAGGGGACAAGAGCCACACCTTGGTGGAGTAACCAGGACCCGCACATAAGTTGGCGATGCAGAGGGCAGCGTTTCCCCGCGAGTCGTCGTCCACCGTGTGGTTGCTAGTCTTGAGCATGTGGCAGAGGGAGTCCAGCGTCCCTCCGTACGCTATCGTGCTCCTGCACAGCTCCTCCGACGCCAGCCTCGCCAGCACGCTGCTTGCTACCTTCTTCTCCGCGCTCTGCCCTCCCCTCAGGAGCTCGCAGAGGGCCTCTGTCCCGCCGCAGCTGTGGACCAGCCAGACGCCATCCGGGAGGTCGATGAGCCGCCTGAGCCGCTGGCATGCGGCGCTGCGCTGCCTGACCGTCAGCTTGCGATTCTTCATTTCCTCGATGATCCCGTTGCACTCCAGCTCTAGATGATGCAACTTCTCCAGCTCGGCTCTCAGCTGGGGGTCCTGCGCGATCTTCTTGACCAGCTCGAGCTCCGAGGCTCCCACGTCCCTCAGGCTCCTCATCCTCGTCCTCTGACTCGTCTCGGACGCGAAACTCCGCGAGTACATGGCGACCGAGCGTTCAAACGACCCCTCTTCGTTGCGCGCACCTCCTCCCTTTCACCTCCCCGCTCCTCCCTTCACCTTCCCGCTTCCCTCCTCCCTCCAGGTTCTCTCTTCTGCCGCTGTGTATGACCTGCTCTCCTCTACTCCCTCACCCAGTCCCTAACATCTAACTCCTCTTCGTCCTCCCCCCCCCCTTCCCGCCATTCTTGTGTGCCTGCATGACTTTTTTGTTTCAACGGATCAACCGAAAAAGGGGACGCGGTAGCCGGGCGCTTTCATGGTGCCATGGGAGAGGGAGGGAGGGGAGAGGGGAAGAGAGAGAAAGGCAAGAGAAGGAGAGGGAGAGAAGGAAAGGTATGAAAGGATAGGGGGAGGAGGCGAGAGGGAAGCGAGAGGGGAGGGGAGGGGAGGGGAGTACGATGCTGATGGAACGATTCAAGCATGAAAAGGGATGAGGGAGAGTTTTTACTGTGACGGTCAATCCCGCCGCAAAGTCAAGACACGATCGTAACACAAGAACAAGACTGGTTGCAACTTGCAAAGCCACTTGAAAGAACCAACAAAAAGCTGCGGTGACTGAGGAGAGGGCAAGGGGTGAGGGAGATGGGGGAGGCTACAAAAACTCCTATGCTCACCACTAACAAATTCAGTCATCCCTCTAACGTGAGCTTCCAGAGGAGGTGCGCCCGATGGAACTTTCGCATGCAGAAGCCTGGCGGCAGCGGTTTGTTGTCGATGTTGACTTGACCGGAAGTGAACTTGGGGGCAGAAATGCCGGAAAGATCCTCAATGGAATAGGAGAACTCCGAGGTCTGACGCGAGGGAGAGGGTCAGCGAAGGAGGAGGACAAGCGGATAGCCAACGGGAGGGTGGGAGAGGAGAACAACTTGCAAAGGAGAAGAACGCGGAAACAAAGTCACATCATCCAGAACATGGAACAAGCTCGTGACAATATTGAAGACAACATGGGCAGCAAGCACTTCTTCCCCATCGTCACTTTCACCCACCTTGATGCTCTCAACCTTGAAGTGCTTCTCCAGCATAGCCCGCAAGCTGCAGAGCAGGAGCATCAGCCAAGGGAGCTGCAGGATTTGAGAAACGCACTTCTTCTCTCTATCGATGCTTCGCACTCCGTTGCACAGATACCCGACCGTCTTGTTGTTGAACACTGACAGCAACTGACGAAGATGTAAGAGGAGGAGGGGGGGAGGGGGAGCAGCAACAGCAGCAGCAGCAGCAGCAGCAGCAGCTGTACGAGCAGCAGCACGAGCTGGAAGAGAAAGAGGAGGAGGAGGAGGAGGAGGACAGCAGCAGCAGGGCGCGATGGAGTAGCGGGATCTTTCCGTACCCCTTCCACGAGAGGAGCGAAGAGAGTCTCGTCGTAGGCTACATCCGAAGCGAGCACCTAGCACAGAAGATTGATACGTGAAGGAGGAGGCAAGGCAGCGCTACATAGTCCCAGGCTATCCCCCTCATCTCCGGAATGTCTTCAGTCGGCGTCCCCCACCAGAATCTGGGGCATTGTAAGACCAACATCATGAGCGGGAAGGATGTCAAGAAGGCAGGAAATAAGCACGATAAACATGGAGTACACGCCTTGCGGAAGAGGTATTGTGCTCTGATACACGCCTCACATTCATCCTTGCCAAATTTACCGTGTTGTCATTCCCATCTGTAGCTAGTACATACCCCTTCTCCCCAACAAGAATGCTTGCAGCCATCGAGACCAGCGCAGGGCCAGCACCCAGCTCCAACACGTTCTTCCCTTGCATATCACCTGCCTCCTGCCTGCACAGAAACCTGCAGCACGATCAACACAATGCAGGACAGTCGTGCGGTAATACCTCGAGAGAACAATGGCCGCGTCGTACACTGCGCCTCCTGTGTCATCCTGCACGATCTCGCTCTCTGACCCGCGCTGGTCGACGAGGAAGGCGACTCCTCTCTGCCCATTCACATCCAGGCAGCTCTTCACCAGGGACTCCTCGTCGATGTAGATGTTCCTTGTTCGCAGGAAGTAGAGGTCTGCGCAGGCGGATGCTGCGGCACAGAACTCCTCCTCGTCCTCGAACCTCAGCAGCTCGTACTCGTCTTCTGACTCACAACTGCCCTCGCTGACCTCCTTCAAGTCAACCCTTGCCTCAACTAGCTCTCCTCCAATATCCATCCTTGCCCTGCCCACAATCGCTCCTCGTAGCTGCTTCTCCTGCCAGCAGTCTCCTTTCTGAAGCCTCTCTCTTCTCTCCTGCCTCTCTCTTCTCTTCCCTGTCCCTCTGCTTCACTGCTCTCTCACTCCTTCTCTCCTCTCCTCCCGCGTTCCTCGATCCTGCCTCCTGCTATCGGCGTTCCTGCATCGCACGTGTGCTAGCGGACATGCGCATAACGACCCGCTAGGTCTCTCACTAGGACTACTTTGCTGCCCTCTGAGATCCTACCCCAATTACCGTTACAAATTCCAAGAAAGTGTAACGGAGAGAGCCTGCCTCTTCATCCTGTAGCAATGGTGAGAAGAAAAAGCGATGTTGACCATGCGGCTCCTCTGCGTTCGCTAATGCACTCTGCCTGCTGCCTGCCTTTCTTGTCGGGTGCTGTCCTGTCCTGTCCTGTCCTGTCCTATCCTGTCTTGTTCGCTCCTCCTGCACTACCTCAAAACTTGCTCTGTTGCTTTCTCCGTTTTTTATTTACCCTCTTGTTCCTTGTGAACTTCACTCGCGTCAGTCATTTCCCTCCTCTCTCTTTATGATACCTTTCCCTTACGACTGCTTTATTCCACGACGTTCTCATCATTTCTCTCGCTTGTATGAACGTTTCTTCCCCATCTACCCTGCGCTCTCCTCTACTTTTCAACAATCAACGACACGCCCCCTCTGTTCATCCTGATCTGCCTTTCTTGTCCACTGCAATTTCTTTCCAGCTCTGTCTTCTGCTGCTTCTCGTCCATTACTTTTCTTTCTTTCTTTTGACATTTCTTGCACTATATGACGGTGGCACATGATATCTGTAGCAAGTGATTGTTCATGGTGTCTTCGTCTCCACAACACATATCCGGTGTTCTTTGGACATCTTGCTGTGCAACACATGTCTGGTTCGCTTCTTCTCATTTTTCTTTCCACGTACTCATTTCAACCTGTTCATGTCGTGGATTCCTAACTTCAATCCCCCTTGTTTGATGAAATACACGTTTGCATTCTCTTGCTTCTTCTGATCAATCGTTCTTTCATGCACCCTCATTTTATGCAACCTGGCTGTTTGTACCTTGTTGTGCGTGCTCCCTCATCAGATTTGTGTATGTGTATTGATGTATGCCATCTCTTCATCACATCAAATCGGCAACATCTGTGTGCTGTTGACTTCAAATGCCTTGTTCTCCCATGGCCTGCTACAACTTTTAGTGGTTTCCTTCGACTGGACTTGTTAATGATGCCATGATGCAAACAATGTGTGTTTGCGTTTTTGACATCTGTCTCTCAGCTTTTCTACCTCGTTCCTACCAACGAACTAGCCTGGTACCCCAGACCAGACACTCCATCCTGTAGCACCCAGTACATGCCCTTCCACAACAACAACTTCCAGGTAACATTCTTCGTATCACGCTGTGCATATGCTGGTGATTGGCAACGAGCTTCCGATATGATACATATATTCCTGCTTTTCCGTTTGATTGTCCTCTGCTCACTGTGATGCATTTGTCAGGGATCTTCTTCTCAGGATGCCCTGCAGTACTGGATGCCAGGTTAATCTTGTGTTCACCATCAATGGAGGAGCTAACTTTCCAACAGGCTCTATGGACTCTCCCTACTATGCATGCTCGGGAATGTAATTCCATTTCTCATTGGGGTGACAAAGAAAATAGCACGATTTATTCAAATGAATGAAATGACAACTTCTACGAGTTTGTACTACGATATCATACGCATCAGTCTGCTGATTGACTTGTCGATGACGCCCTTGGAAGCATGCGGCTTCCTACAGAGCGAAGAAGTCATATACTCAATGTTGTCTGCTGGTGGCCAACATGCTTAAAGCTCCGTTCTGCTATTTGCTAGAAAGAAGTTGAGAGGTACACATTAGAACCAAGACCACCTGACTAGAGGTCAACTTGTCCGATCAAGGGATCCCAAGGAAACCCAGCACCACTGCAGGATGGGTAGATGTGTGTGCGATCTGCCTACCCGATCTGCCGGAAGCAACAAAGAACTCTTATTTTAACCGTTCATTGAAAATTTCCTTTACACTAAATTACAGCCTTGGATCACAATATGATAAAGACAGTATTACATTATTTGATTTACAGCTTCTTGCCCTCAACATGTGCAAGTGCTTCCATGAACAGCGAATCGTACGCCGTGATGGGCTCAGACATTTCCTCGGCTTCTTCGGCACCAGAGTCCTCATCCTCGTCATCAGTCTTCGAGTCGTCTTTCTTTGTGCCATCCATGTTGTTGCCATCAAGCATTCTCCGTCTTGAGTAAGGCCATTTCGTAACACCGAGCTGTCGGCATGCAGATTTCAGGCTGGTGAGTGAAATTCCAAGAAACTTCGCTGCATCGGATTGGCGCATGACGAACAAGCTGGTCACTCCTTGAGCGTTGAGAGTAACAGTTGGTCCAGCTTGCCAGACTTTGCCGACTCGGCGTCTGGGAAGGACATGAACAACACCGGAGCCGTTGATACGCTCAACTTCCATGGTGGCAGGGGGGGAGGGCATTCTTACGCTGGTGCAGTTGAGGGAGGGAGGTGTTGGAAGGGTTCGAAGAGATCGGAAGCAGGAGGGAGCAAGGACAGGCTGACAGGTTTCTAACGCGTGCTAGCGTTAGGTGTGGGTCTCGTGGGTAAAGGGACTTCGAAGAGGGAGCAGATAAGAGGAGGGAGCAACGGGGACGGGAGCAGGAGTAACTAACCCCCACCCTTTCAAGTCATTGGACTTGGAGGGGTCGGGAACAGAAAGGGGGTCAAGGATAGACTCAGGGAGGCGGAGGGGGCGGAGGAATAGGTGAGGTGGGGTGGGGTGGAAAAACTGCACCCCCAATTACCGCATGGGGTACTCATTGTACCCCTACGCTTCCCTGTGAATATGATGAAAAAGAGGGTGATCATTAACCAAGAATAGATACCCTTTTAGGGTAGGGATGATCACCCTACCCCCATATTCACCTCCATTTGCTCCTCGGCGCTCCGTGGGCCAAGAAGTCTAATTAGACTCCTATAGGGGTCACCATACCCTCTACCCCCAGCCATGAGGATATGGAAAAGACCCACCCCCTTCATGTGGACCCTCACCCCCATCCCTCGGCTTTACTGAAATCCCTGCCATCACACTGTAACCGTGTTAAAGGGTACCCCTCCACCCCTGAAATTCCCGATTGACCGGCTTTGTCAGAGACTATGGTTGATAGCATTGATAGACCATATATGTTTTCGACGCTCTATCAAGCACTAATCTTTGGTACATGACCCCCTACCACCCCAGTATCATCTGGCCGATGGACATGCGTTGATTGTAGCCTTTTACGGCCCGTGTGTACCCTTTTACAATAACCCTCCACCCGATCTGACGAGCACCCTACCCCCAATGAGATAACCCCACCCCCTGAATATCAATCATGTTCCACCCTCTTCATCGATCACTTGCCACCCCCTTGGCCACCCCCTTCATGTCATGGACCCCTACCCTTTTACAGAGTGCCTTCTAATCACGAAACGACGTGATATTGAAATGTTTCGATTTCCACATAGTCAGCACTGGCGACAGGAGAAAACGAAGATAAGAGGAAACGGGAGTTAAAGATGTCAGCAACTGAAAGCTTTACATTCACAAGAGTAAAACTTTCTTGATAAGGCATTGTTTAGAGGACAGACTGCGAGGTGCTGACAACCGACATTCTGTGGATATCGTCTACCTCAACGGGCTAGTGGTCCATGACAACGTAGGGGAAGCTTATCTCGAGATTACGAATCCAAGATGGGAGGTATAACAGTTTTTTATTCGGAGCCACCTCAAATCGTTGCGTTTCATCTATTTCCCTCGTGACCGCAGCTGCCGTGGCACCACAAAGAGACGCAGCACATAAGTGCAAGGTCCCGTAGGGTCCCACCTTGTCCCCGACGAGTAGAGGCTCAAGAGGAAAAGGGCGACCCCTTAGTACCCTGGGAGTCCCGCTCGGTGTCTCCCGCCGTATTCCGGCGAAGTTCAACGGTTCCCCGGTGACGGCACGGTACGCCGCGGCCCGGCCGTCGTGATCAGTGGTGCCGTAGTGACCGGCACTGCCCGGCCGTGCCACGGTATCTGTTCGCGGCCGCAGGTAGTCGCACGGTACGAGTAGTCCCCATTGAGCCTAGTCAACCCACCCCCCCGCCCCTCGCCGGGACGTGGCAGGCTTGAGGCTCGTGACTCGCCTTGGAAACTTGCTTTGACTTGCTTTGACTCCGGGACCCGGTCACGGTCGGACCGGTCCGATCGTACCACCAGTACGACAGCCTGTGACTTAAAAGCCCAGTCGGTGCGGCCGCAATGCCGTGACATCAAAAACTGGGCCTCGGAACTTCGGAAGCTGTCAGATTGAACTTGACTTGGCTTCTGGAGCCATGTGACTGCGGGCGCTACTTAGTATGAGGCTGATTGACTCCAAGACTCCTCCGTAACTTGGCTTAGGCCCCCGCGGCGTCCGCAGTGATCGGACGGGACGGTGGCGGGCACCCGGTCCGCCGGCCGCGGCGCGGCCGGATCGCGGGTGGTACACGGATCCGAGCCTCGGCGTGGCGGCCGCTGGCCCATGACTGTGATCGCCGCCGACGGCGTGACTTAACTTGCCTTTCGAAAAG